GAGGGGCAGAGAGAGAGAGGGAGACACAGAATCGGAAACAGGCTCCAGGGTCCGAGCCATCAGCCCAGAGCCTGACGCGGGGCTCGAACTCACGGACCGCGAGATTGTGACCTGCCTAAAGTCAGACGCTTAACCGACTGCGCCACCCAGGCGCCCCAACAAATGTGCCTTCTTTACCATAGCCTTGAGCACTAGAATTATGGTCACTTCTCGAAGCTGAACTCAGGTACCAGTGGAGCCCAGAGACTAAAGCTTGGGGATAATGTTAAACCAGGCAGAACTTGGTGGATAGCATGTCCAGAGAAAAGCAGTATAAGAATGGGTCAAGGCCATTAAAAAAATAAAGGCAAGATGAAGTAGCCAAAGGAGAATATAGGAAGAGGGAATGTGAACATGCTAGCAAGGGAGGGTAGGCTGTTAGGAGGCCTGGATGGGATTTTGGCTACTTGGCCCAACAGAATGTTGTTTAAGTGGAACCCCCACCTCCCAGTTTTTAAGTTAGCCTGAGAGATCATACAGGAACCTGTCCATGTATGCTTAGATAAACTCATAGCTGAGAAATGTACAAGTTAAGTGAGATTAGAAATGTCTGGGCTATATCTCTGATTTGTGGTTGTCAGTGAAGAACAAGGACTCTAAAAGACTTTTAGATATCATGAGAATACAAACATTCTTAAAAATCAAGATGAATATACAGACGTGTATTGTTTTACCTGCCTCAAAGAGTATTCTGCTTCTTTGGAAACTGCCCCTTCCCTGTTCCAGTCATAGTTATGGTGGAGTAGTCCAATCATAGTTTCCTCATTCTCCTGCTACAAGGCTGGCACACAACCCAGGTCAGTCTCCACCATAAATATGGTGATTGGTTCAGGGACAGTGTGTACTCCAAGCTAGAATAATCAGGTTTTTTTTTTTTTTTTTTAATGTTTACTTTTGAGAGACAGAAAGATAGAGCACGAGCGAGGGAGGGGCAGAGAGAGAGAGGGAGTCACAGAATCTGAAGCAGGCTCCAGGCTCTGAGCTGTCAGCACAGAGCCTGATGCGGGGCTTGAACTCATGAACTGTGAGATGATGAGCCAAAGTCCGATGCTTAACCAACTGAGCCACCCAGGCACCCCAGGAGGGATCTTTTTGAAATGAAGAAATGTAAGAAGGGCATAGCCTCAGGATAAAAAACAGTTATTTCCCCAAAATGACATTTGGATATGTTCTGCCACATTATTCTTACTCTTTTTATTTCATTGCTGATTAACTTTTTAAAAATCTTCCCAGATCAGCACCGATTTGGAGACCAGAGTTTGGAACTAGTAGATACTACAAAGTAGGAATTGATGGCACCACCAGTGATAGAAATCCTGAGCTCACCAAACCATTATTCTCATCCAATATGACATTTCTAGTGTCCTGAGAGCATGCTTTCTTTCATATGGAAGAATCTTTTTTTTAATGTTTGAGTTTATTTTTGAGAGCACGCAGGCAGGGGAGGGGCAGAGAGAGAGGGACAGAGAATCTGCTGTGCTGACAGCAGCGAGCCTGATATGGGGCTTCAGATCATGACCTGAGCCAAAGTCTGGACGCTCAACTGACTGAGCTACCCAGGTGCCCCTCACATGGAAGAATTTAATTAAAAAATGGCCCAGAGACAGCTACTGAAAGACTGAGACCAGAGAGGCCCCTTCACGAGAGGATGACAGTGAAGGCTGGGCAAACAGTATTTTCCTAACCTTGATACCATTAGATAGCACATTCATGGTTCTCCTGCACCTATGCTCTAATTTGCGTGCTTTTAATGGGTCACCTGCTTAGCCAGCAAAAGCTTCTGCAGCTGCGGCTTCCCAGAAGCCAGGAAGTGAAGCAACCCAAAGTTGACGTAGCCAGAGAGGCTGAGTCTGCGTTGGTGGTGGCAAGGTGAGAAGAAAATATAGCAAGTGTGAAACCACAAGGAAATTCATAGTTGGTTCCAAGGTTCAGCCTTTGCAGCGGAGTCCCAGAAAATCCTGAGAGCCTGAATGCTGAATAAGCTTCATGCACCTGCCTAGGAAAGAGGTGAATGGACATGGCAAAGTGAGGTGGTCCAGGAATTCTCAATGTCTGCAGTCTACCCCCTTCATATTTTATTAAATTAGCATAATTAATGACATTTATGCTGATTTAATAAAATAGCATCACAAAATTCCTTAATGGCATAGCCAAAAGTATTTACATATTAAAAAAGACACAGTTGAAAGGAATCTATGTCATGTGATTAATATGATACTCCCAGCATTTGTATACATATATATCAAATAAGACTTTATTTTTTAATGTCGATTTATTTATTTTGAGAGTGCAAGTGGGGGAAGGGCAGAGAGAGAGGAAGAGAGAGAGAATCCCAAGTAGGTGCAGAGCCCAACACAGGGTTCTAATTCAGAAACCATGAGATCATACCTGAGCCGAAGCCAGACGCTTAACCAACTGAGCCATCTGGGCACCTCTCAAATAAATAAGACTTAAAATATATTTTCTATGTTTTTTCCTTCTAGGTAAGTAGCTTGCAGCAGAAAAAGGTCTATGCTAAAACACATATAGAAAAATAGTCACATGGGGCTCCTGGGTAGTTCAGTCAGTTAAGCATCTGACTCTTGATCTAAGCTCAGGTCTTGATCTCAGGGTCATGAAATAAATCCCAGTGTTGGGCTTCACACTGGGCATGAAGCCTACTTAAAAAAAAAAATCACTTGGGGCGCCTGGGTGGCCTAGTCGGTTAAGCCTCTGACTTCGACTCAGGTCATGATCTTGTGGTTCACAAGTTTGAGCCCCATGTCAGGGTCTGTATTGACAGCTCAGAGCCCGTAGCCTGCTTCAGATTCTGTGTCTTTTCCTCTCTCTGCCCCTCTCCCACTCACGCTCTCTTTCTCTCTCAAAAATAAATGAACATTAAAAAGAAAACTTTTTCTAAAAATCACGTACTGTCAGAAGAATCACAAATAAGGACTCATTTTTATGCGCTCCATTGGAGATTCCCTCTCACCATGCTCAAGCTCTCATACTCTATGCCAGTCTCTGCTCCTATGGAGAAGCCCTCCTCATCCTACTTGGGCTCTGACACTCTCATCAGATCACCTCCATGTGTGGACACCTTCCCCATCTGGCTCAGACTCTGGCACCCTACCCTCAGCCACCACCACCACCACACCACATGGACACCCTTCTCACCCTGCACAGGCTTCAACTCCTTGAACTCAAGCAGCCCTCCAACTCCAGTACCCTGCACAGATTCTGAAACCCTTGCTCCACTCAGGCTCTGACACCCTGTGACAGGACACACCACCACATGGATGTCCTCCTCACTTTCCATGCCAGCTCTTCTTCTTTGTTCAAACATGAAGGACCTATGTTGTAATTATCTGTATTGTTTTGCTTTATTTATAGATTTACATAGATTTGACTTCATGATTAGTCCTGTATAATATTTTCCCCATTCCCTAGTTTTTTATGTCTTAATTGGCTGGATTTCATCATCAGGTAGCTTTTTCAAAAAGTGGTCTCAAAAGAAGTTTGAGTGGGAGAGAGCCAAAGCATAAGAGACTCTTAAAAACTGAGAACAAACTGAGGCTTGATGGGGGGTGGGAAGGAGGGGAGGGGAGGTGATGGACATTGAAGAGGGCATCTTTTGGGATGAGCACTGGTGTTGTATGGAAACCAATTTGACAATAAATTTCACATATTAAAAAAAAAAAAAACCCAAAAAACAAAAAAACAAAAAGTGGTCCCATATGCCGTACCTTCGTTGAGCTTAAGCACATGTGAGACTATTTGTGGATTGCCTTCATACACAGGTAGAAATTTGGCTGGGTATAAAATTCTTGGGTCACACTCATTTTTTTTTTAAAACTCTGTAAACATTGGTCTATCATTTTCTGACATGGGCCATTACTATAAATGAGTTTGAATCCAGCTTTACCTCTTCCTATTACAATTGACTTGTGTTTTTTGCCTAGATATGTGTAGGGTTATTCACTTGTTTATCAAGTTTAGTCATTTCATGTGACTATCATGTTTTTATGCCTCTGGCATTAATTTTTCTTATGACACAATGTATAATTTAAATTTGTAGATTCTGTTCTTCATTTCAGGAAATTATTTCTCTCTTTGAATATTTTTTATTCTGCATTTGCTCAGCTCTATACTTCAGGTACACTAAGTATATATGTATATGGTAGACTTCTGTTGTCTTTTTTCAATGTGTATCATTTCTATGACTGCAAAATTCTATATGGACATAAAATGTCTTAGTTTGAGCTGTTGTAGCAAAAATACAACATAGTCTGGGTGGCTTACAAACAGAAAATTATTTCTCTTAGTTCTGAAAGCTAGGAAGTCCAAGATCAAGGTGCCAGTAGATTCAGTGCTTGGTGAAAGTCCACTTCCTGGTTCATAGATGGCTGTCTTCTCACTGTGTCCTCACATGACAGAAGGGGCAAGAGAACTCTGTAGGGTTTCTTTTATAAAGACACTAATCCCATTCATGAGGGCTCCATCCTCATGACCTTATTACCTTCCAAAGGCCCCACCTCCTAATGCCATCACCTTGGAGGTTAGGATTTCAACATATGAATTTTGGGGAGACACAGACATCCAGTTTATAACATAAGCATAATTATTATTATAGGTATGATCCAAATATGGGAATGTTAATGTTATTTTTCAGTTCGGGTCTTAGATACTAAAAACTTTGTGCATAGTCTTTAGTGTGTGTGTATGTGCTTGTGTGCATGCATGGGAATGTGAGTACATTGTTTTCATATGAAACATTAAAAAGAACCAAATGTGTGCTACATGGCTGCTACTGTTTATAGTAATATTGAAGGGGAGAAAACAACACTTATTTTGGGACAGATATAACACAAGGTCCAAGTTTTATAAGTATGTGAATGTGTAGTCTCTGATATAGTAGGCTGAGGTAAAAGATATCACAGCAGCTAATTTGTTTTCCAAGAACTACAGAGACCAGACAATAATTAGAACCAATTTTTATTTAATGTTTAAATGATGCTTAAAAATTGTACAAGGCAAGGACATAAGTACTTTATGCAGTTTATTTGATTTTCATTTGCACAGTAACTATGTAAAATTATTATTATTAAGCCATCATTTAATAATCCCCCATTTAATAATGGGGGGACTATCTTAGAAGGGTTAAATAAGTCTTCAGAGTTGCCTTACTAGTAAGTGGTAGAGTGGGTTTGGAAGCTGAGTTTCCCAGAGCGGTGTCTCCACATTAATCTGGATTCTGGATTCACTCCCTTTCTGCTACCGTAGAAAGTCCTGAAGGAGGAAGAGAGATGCATGTGCCTCTAAAGGGTACTCATATTTTAAGAAGTCAAATCTGTTGGTTCCCATGAATACATATTATCTTTACAGAAATATGTTGGAACTGTAAAACATATGCACTGGAAAGACATTTTTAGTTGCTGTCACCCACTCACTTTTTTTCAACTGCTCCTTTGATCCTCTCTCTTAAGGTCCCAAAAGGCACTCAAGTTCAACATGTTTAAAATTAAATTTAGGGGCACCTGGGTGGCGCAGTCGGTTAAGCGTCCGACTTCAGCCAGGTCACGATCTCGCGGTCCGTGAGTTCGAGCCCCGATCTCGCGGTCTGTGAGTTCGAGCCCTCGTCAGGCTCTGGGCTGATGGCTCGGAGCCTGGAGCCTGTTTCCGATTCTGTGTCTCCCTCTCTCTCTGCCCCTCCCCCGTTCATGCTCTGTCTCTCTCTGTCCCAAAAATAAATAAAAACGTTGAAAAAAAATTTAAAATTAAATTCATTGTTTTATGCTCCAATAACTTTTTCTTCCTCAGTTCAATCATTGACACCTTCCTCTCTTTGCTTTCTACATGCCATCAGTCACCAAAGTTTATTGCTCTGTCTTCTCATCACTTCGTTTTCTTGAATCTGTCCCTTTCCATTCAAAATGTCACCACTCTTATTCAACCTTTTTTATTACCGCTGACGTGGAATGTTGCACACCACAGGTGCCTGACAGGTCTCCTGGCCTACCATCTTTTTGCCTCTCTCTTCCTTTATCTCTTACGTAGGTTCAGACTTCTCTTTCTAAGCAGTGGTTTTCAAATTCTTTTGAAAGCACACTCTCCCAATAAAAATGCTTGAGCATGAATTTCTAGTATATTTCTTTATTTCTAAGCAATGTATACATATGACTAAACATATATGAACACTGTAAAATGGGCATAAGAATATAAATTAAAGGGGCGCTTAGGTGGCTCAGTCAGTTAAGTGTTCGACTCTTGATCTCAGCTCAGGTCATGATCTCATGGATCGAGCCCCAAGTCTGCATCCCAAGTCTATATTGTCAGTGCAGAGCCTGCTTGGGATTCTCTCTCCCTCTCTCTCTGCCCCTTCCCCCCAACTCGTACACACACACACACACACACACTCTCTCTCTCTCTCTCTCTCTCTCTCTCTCTCTCTCTCTCAAAATAAATAAGCTTAAAAAAAAGAATGTAAATTAAAAGGGAATAGAGAGGAAATGAATATTTTTACCTAAATTTGTATTTGATTTTTCAGAGTTCAAAAACATTTTTGTTCTCTATACACCTGAATAAATTTCACTGTTTTTTAAAACTTTATTTATTTATTTTTGAGAGAGAGTGCAGGAGGGGCAGAGAGAGAGAGAATCCCAAGCAGGCTCCACACTGTCAGTATAGAGCCTAATGTGGGGCTCAAACTCACAAACAGTGAGACCATGACCTGAGCCAAAACCAAGAGTCAGATGATTAACCGACTGAGCCACCCAGGTGCCCCAGATTTCACTGTTTTTGTTTTTATTTATTTTAAAAAAAAAATTTTTTTTTAACGTTTATTTATTTTTTTGGGACAGAGAGAGACAGAGCATGAACGGGGGAGGGGCAGAGAGAGAGGGAGACACAGAATCAGAAACAGGGTCCAGGCTCTGAGCCATCAGCCCAGAGCCCGACGCGGGGCTCGAACTCACAGACGGCGAGATCGTGACCTGGCTGAAGTCGGACGCTTAACTGACTGCGCCACCCAGGCGCCCCTCACTGTTTTTGTTTTAATGTTGGTTTAATAATTTGTGACTCAGAGATTCACAAATATATTTCTAAGTTCAGTTTATTTTGGAAATAGGTTTTATTAATTGTCATAGCTGAAAATGATACAAAGTAATATAGTATTAAAATGCACTAAAACTACATTACTAAATCCTAATATTCATTTCCATCCACAAATTATGTGAAGTTTTATTGAAATTCAGCCAATACATTTACTGATGTCAAAGAGTTATTCTTGCAAGCCAATTGAAAGGTATTGTAAACCTATGTCTGGAATATTAATAGATTTGAGGGCTGTGTTTCCAATTTTTTTTAAGCATGAAGATACAAATGTTTCTTAGATAATGTTACAGCTTTGTCAATTTCAGGAATAAAATAACAACAGATTTCCAAGCATCCATTTTCAAAATGGTCTCAGTAAAAAGAGTTTCTTTGCAAAAGCATTTATTTTCACCTTCACTATTAAACACCTTTTTTTTTTAAAGATACTATTTAAATGTATTTATAATTTTATTTTTATTATTTTTTTTTTTAATTTTTTTTTTCAACGTTTATTTATTTTTGGGACAGAGAGAGACAGAGCATGAACGGGGGAGGGTCAGAGAGAGAGGGAGACACAGAATCGGAAGCAGGCTCCAGGCTCTGAGCCATCAGCCCAAAGCCCGACGCGGGGCTCGAACTCCCGGACCGCGAGATCGTGACCTGGCTGAAGTCGGACGCTTAACCGACTGCGCCACCCAGGCGCCCCAAAATGTATTTATAATTTTAATATCTACTGTGTAGCACAGTATTGAAGGTCACTTGGCATAAGAGAAAAGGTCAGAAATTTTGGAATCCTAGTCTTTTTGTAAGAGAGAAAAATGTGTAATTCATCTCTAAGTTGGCAATCCTTTTAAGGTCTCTACTCCCAAAATGACCTATGAACCTGTCTGATACAATTGATTTTTATGGTCTCTCCCTATTTCATTACACAATATTATAAAGATTCTACTACTTAGGGCCACAGTATGTAGAGCATGTGACTCTTGATCTCAGAGTCATGAGTTTGAGCCCTGCCTTGGGCATAGAACTTACTAAAAACAAAAACAAATAAACAAAAATCAAACAAAACAAAACAAAACACCCCCCCCCCAAGATTCTACTACTTAAAAGTCTTGGGGATGTTTGGGTTTTGTTTTTATAAAAATGGCCCTAACAATGATACCCTACAGCACACAAATTCGTCTCAGGAGACTTCACTTAAACCATTTAAGACACTTAACTCACATACAGACAAGTGTGCCTGCCACTATCAATCCACATATTAGATATCAGAAAGGTTTCATTTTTTTAAAGAAATATAAATAATATATTTTTTTCTGTACTCCAGGGCATCCCCAGGGATGAGCACACATACCCCCCTCTGATCCTTCACTTTCCTGCCAAGAAACCAACATCACCAACTCACTGTTTGTCCTGAGCCAGTTTTTCTGCTGGGCACAGTCTGACTTCAGCATCTTAGTTACCAGATACAATTTTCCTGCCTTGTGTCCTCATTCCTTCGTGCTTAGGTTTGAGTCCCAGACTTAAAAAATTTAATAAAATAAAATAAAAGCAAGTGCTACAGAGTTTATTCCTGGCCTAGTGTTGTACTGATGAACATATTTATTTAGTCATCACAACTCTATGAAATAACATTACTATCCCTGTTTTACAGAATATGAAATTTAGGGATTACATAACTTCTCCAGAGTTAATACTTACCTAGTGATGGAGGTGAGTGGGTTTGAGTCTAGGCAGTTGAACTCCAGAGGCTATGCATATAACACCTGATTCTTCTGCCCTCTTTCGTGCCATGGCCATGTGCCATGTGCCATGGCTAACTGTGGAAGGGGCAGAGAGACATTTCTAAGCCAGACAGCTTTCAACCCATAGCATGGCCAAGACTAGAAGTCCAATACCAAATTCAATAGGAGGCCATGCTGCTTCTGAGTAGATCAGATACTCTAGTTCAACAACATTGGCACTGGCTGGGAGCTGAAATACAAAAGACTAGGAGCCAGAGATGGTTCAAAAGCTAGAGTGAAAAACAGGGGCTGTTGCTGACTCCAAGGAAAAGAGCCTGGTAGCCAAGAAATGGACTGACACAGGAATATGAACAATAGCAACCAGTTATTAAGACACTGTCTTAACCACTTTATGTTCCTTGTCCATCTAACTCCCACAATGACCCTGTAAAAGAGATACTATTATGCCTTCATTTCCCAGACAAAGAAAATGAGACTCGAAAAACTCAAGTAATTTCCCTAAGCTGCATAACTAAATTAAGTGGCTCAGCCCGGATTTAAACCTGGCTATGTCTGAATTATATATGCCAAAGAGTGACTTATTGTGGAGGAGTTCGCCACCACCAGCCTCTCCATAATCTCCATTATATGCCCAAAGCCACCCCAAGTAAATATACATCTAAGGAAAACCAATTGTTAACACTGTAAATGCAGTTTCAACACAAGACCTCCTTCCAACCAGATTGCTGCACCTTGAACTTCCCCAGTCTTATTCCAAAGGTGAGCTGTGAACAGGGGAGCTCTATACCCACTCACCACTGGGAAACGTCTACAGGTAAGAGAGACAAGAGGAGAAGTGAACTTGTACCCTCCTTTCTCCAACTTTGGATTGAGAGCAAGTGACACAAAGAATCGGGAACTGGTTGTGGTGCCTGGTACCTGACAGTAGCGGTGGCAGAAACATCCATTTGCAGGGGCTACACTTTTAGCAGTGGGGCAATGTCCAGGGCTCTGGGGAACATTGTCCAATCTCTGTCATTCGATGGCTCAGCAGTCATAGTCATAATATCTTCCTGGACTGATTTATGGTAATATTTAGGCTGTGGTTCTGGTTACTGCTGGGACACCCCTTGTTTTGACTATTTTCAGAGCCTATTTCTCCATCATTCCCAGCAATATCACCTTAGTAAATTTTCTTTTGTGCTTAATCACTTAGAGTTAATTTCTGTTGCTTGCAACCAAGAACACTGACTGAACAATGATTAAATTTGCATTTTCATTGCCACTATCACATTGCACCTTATTTCCAAAAGTTTTAAAGAAAGAACTAGTGGCTCAAAAGTAGTTCATTAAAATATTAATACAGTCCACACATAATGGTAAGAGACTGAAAACTTTCCTTAAAAACAGGAATAAGCCAAGGATGTCTGCTTTTACTACTTCTGTTCAACATTGTACAGATGTTCCATTTGGCACAATCAGACAGGAAAAAATAAATGAAAGGCATTCAGATAGGAAAGGAAAAAGTAAAACTATATTTTCAGGTGATGGAATCTGATCTTACATACAGAAAATCCCAAGGACTCCACTAATAACTATTAGGACTAATAAACAAGTTCAGCAAGGTTGGAGGACACATGATCAGCATGCAGAAATCACCCATCTTTTGGCACCCCTGGATGGCTCAGTCCATTAAGTGTCCAACTCTTGATTCCAGCTCAGGTCATGATCCCTGGGTTGAACATAGAGCCTACTCAAGATTCCCTCTCTCCCCCTCTGCCCCTCTCTCCTGCCTGCGTGCACACTCAAAATAAATAAAATAAAAAACAATCAACTGTATTTCTATAAAGTAGCAATGAACAATCTGAAAGTGAAATTAGGAAAACAACTCTATTTACAATAGCATCAAAAAAATTAAAACTCTTAGGAATCAATTTAACAAAAGAAGTGTAAGTCTTGTACTCCAAAAACTACAAGACATCTTTGAAAGAAATGAAAGAATATCTAAAAAACTGGAAAGACATCCCATGCTCATGAGTTAAAATTGTTAAGATGACAATACTCCAAATTGCTACACAGATTCAGTGAAATTCCTATCAAAATACCAGTGTTGTCTCCTGCAGAAATCGATAAGTTGATCTTAATGTTTCATGGAAATTCAAGGGACTTGGAATAGCAAAAAAAAAAAAACAATCTTGAAAAAGAAGAACAAAGTTAGTTGGAGGACTCATACTTCCTAATTTCAAAACCTAGTAAAAAGCTATCATCATCAAAACAGTGTGGTAATTGCATAAGAATGGACATATATAAATCAATGGAATGGAATTGAATGGCCAGAAATAAATCTTCCCGTTTTTGGTCAGTTGGTTTCTGGCAAGGGTGCCAACACCATTCGGGGAAGAAAAAATAGTTTTTTCAACAAATGCTGCCCACACAACAAGATGTCCATATACAAATGAATGAATTTAAATTCCTATCTCATACTGTATGTAAAAAATTAACTCAAAATGGATCATAAACCTAAATATAGGAGTTAAAACTGTAAAATTCTTAGAAGAAATCATAGCAGTACATCTTTGTAATTTTGGATTGGGCAATGTTGTCTTACATATGACACCAGAAGCTTATACTTGACATGACAGAGAAAAAAGTAGGTAAATTACACTTCTTCAAAATTAAAACTTTTGGGGGGGGGCCTAGCAGCCTCAGTTGTTGGAGCATGTGACTCTTGATCTCTGAAGTTCGAGCCCTACATTGGGTGTAGAGATTACTTAAAAATAAAATCTTTTTAAAAAAATTTAAAACTTTTGTGCTTCAAAGGACACTACCAGGGAAATAGAAGGATAGCCCACAGAATGGGAGAAACTATGTGCAAATCATGTATCTGATAAGGAATTTGTATTTAGAACATATGAAGAATCTTAGAACTCAACAATAAAAACAACTCAGTTGAAAATGGGCAAGATTTAAGCAGATGTTTTTCCAAAGACAATGTACCAAAAGCACATGAAAAGATGTCCAACATTGTTCAGTAGGGAAATGCAAATAAAGACCACGATGAGATTGCTAAAGGGAATGGAGTTTCTTTTGAGGATGATGAAAGTGTTCTAAAACTGATTGGGTGATGTTTGCACAACTGTGAATGTATCAAAATCACTTTATTGTAAACTTTTTAAAATAGATTTGATTTTGGGGGCACCTGGATGGCTCAGTCAGGTAAGCATCCAACTCTTGATTTCAGCTCAAGTCATGATTTCACGGTTCATGAGGTCCAGTCCCGTATCAGGCTCTGTGCTGACAGTGCGGAGCCTGCTTTGGGATTCTCTCTCTCCCTCTCTCCCTGCCCCACCCTCTGCCTCTCTCTCTCTCTCTCAAAATAAATAAACATTAAAAAAATAATAAATGGGTGAATTGTATGGAGGTAGATCGTATCTCAATAAAGCTGTTAACCAAATATCCACAATGAGATGCCACTTCACGCCCACTAGGATGGCTAAAATAGAAATGACAGACAATAACAAATGATGATGAATACACAGAAAAATTACAATCCTTGTACATTGCTGATCGTAAAATGGCACAGCGACTTTAGAAGCTTCTCAGAACGTTAAACATAAAATTACTATAAGACCCAGCAATTTGTCTCATAGGTATACACTGAAGAGAAATAAAAACACATGTCCACACAAACACTTTTACATGAAAGTCCATAGCAGTATTATTCGTGATAGCTAAAAAAAATGGAAACAATCTAATTGTCCACAAACTGATGAAGGGATAAGCAAAATGTGTCATATCCATATAATGGAATAATATTTGGCCATAGAAGGGGATGGGGAAAAATGATACATGTTACAGCATGGATGCATCTTGAAAACATCATGCCAAGTGAAAGAAGTCACACAAAAGACCACATATTGTGTGATTATGTTTATTGCAAATGTCCAGAATAAGCAAATCCATAGAGACAGAAAGTAGATCAATGGTTTTCAGGGGCTGGAAGGAAAGGGGAAATAGGGAGTGATTAATAATGGGTAGAGGGTTTCCTTTTGGGGTGACAAAAATGTCCTAAAATTTGATAATAGTGATGGTCGCACAACTCCATGAATATTCTGAAAACCAACTGAGTTACACACTTTCAAAGGGCAAATTTTATGTGGAATTATATCTTAACCTGTTATTAAAGTTTGGTTTTTTTTAAGTGTTTTTTTTTTAATTTTTTTAATGTTTATTTATTTTTGAAGGAGAGAGAGACAGAGTGTGAATGGGGGAGGGGCAGAGAGAGAGGGAGACACAGAACCCGAAGCAGGCTCCAGGCTCTGAGCTGTCAGCACAGAGCCCGACACGGGGCTCGAACCCATAAACCATGAGATCAAGACCTGAGCCCAAGTCGGACGCTTAACCACTGAGCCACCCAGGCGCTCCTGTTATTAAAGTTTTTTTAAAAATCACAAATATAGGGGCGCCTGGGTGGCGCAGTCGGTTAAGCGTCCGACTTCAGCCAGGTCACGATCTCGCGGTCCGTGAGTTCGAGCCCCGCGTCGGGCTCTGGGCTGATGGCTCAGAGCCTGGAGCCTGTTTCCGATTCTGTGTCTCCCTCTCTCTCTGCCCCTCCCCCGTTCATGCTCTGTCTCTCTCTGTCCCAAAAATAAATAAACGTTGAAAAAAAAAAATTAAAAATCACAAATATAGTAATGTGACTACCACAAGTAAAAATAGCATTATAAATAGTGAACAGGACTCTAGTGAAAATATAAAGTATGATTCTGCATGTTATAGGATAAACACCTGAAAATGTGATTATTTTGCACAAGTGGGCAAAAAAATAGCAGCCAAATTCTAAGAGGGATAGTGAGTACCTGAAAATTGGATGTTACTGGGCTAGCAATTTATTCATCTCTATTCCTCAATGTATTATTATGAACTTGTTCATATATAAGCATAAAGCCACCCGTGACTTTTTACTGGCTTTTTTGAACAAAACACGGTGACCCCTCAGTAAAGAAATAATATTTTTTCTAGAATAAGAGCAAAATAATGCTTCCCAAATTGATGAATTTTGTTTCTAAAGGCAGACAGAAAATATCATAACTATAGCAACATGATTGAAATCTACATTTCTGCAGCAAAACAAGGCTATAAATCATTCTATTGCCAAAAAGGTATAAATCCAATTACGGAGCTAATGACACATTTTATGCTTGAGGAGAAAGCAAACAGAAGTCCTTTATCTAGTGATGCTCTAGGCCGTTGCAAAAATTCAACAGTGTACAATGTAAAAGGGCAATTACTATTATGTGTGCATCCTGGAAGATACTTCCCTAGACATAGGAGGGAAACAGCTGATGTTCTATGTACAAAACAGCCTTTGGCATACATGTGCTACATATAGTAATGGGAAGATGCTCCATGACACGTTATTCTATTCATCACTGCAGATTCATGCTGTGGGAGAAGAGAGTTTTCATCTGTAATAATTATTACATGAGAAAATACATGTTGGGGTCAGTACTGATGGAAACCTGGCCATATGCTTAGCAAAGAAGAGCGTTATTCTAGGAATAAAAGGTTGCACCTGAATGCCAATCCACGCACTGCTTCACTCACAGAGAACAAAGCAAACAACAGATGCCCGACCTTGAATCAGGGACGAAAGAAGGAGAGGAGATTGCAAATATGCAATACAACCAATGAGGAAATGTCTTTTCAGCATGTTTGAGAAGGAACAAGATTCTGCTTTTCTAAGTGGAGGCATGTCATCTGTTGAGGAAAGGCGTTCCCACACATTTTTTTAAGATAAAGAAAGTGATTTATAGTATTTCTTTGTGACACTCATCCTGCCTGTAGAGATACTTC